CTGAGATCCCTTCTTTCGAGTTAAGTGTAATTCATTGAGCCTAAAGTTGTTCTGCCTTTGGAGCCAGACATTTAAGCAGAAGGCAGGGTAATAGAAATCAGGGTTAGAAGTGGTATGGAATGAAATATTAAATTTCCATTCTCTTTGTTTTCAGGGTGCATCAATTCTCAGAATGCTTCAAAACTGGATTACTCCAGAACATTTCCAAAAAGGATGTCAGGTAGGTATTACTGTAAAACAAGCTAAAAATCTTAAAATCTCAAATCAGAAAGTCAAAGGGCCACCAGAGCCATTTAGTTTGCCACACAATCACAGTTAAGGCTTGCTAGCCAAGAGTGCACAAGAGTGTGATTCAACTAGCATCCCCATAGCTGCCTAAGATTTCTCAATCTGAATGACCACATGCCCATTTACAGTCGGGTCAAGTGGGGCCAGTCTTCAGCATGAGTCTGGAATGACAGTCCAATTCATGCCTCTAGTTATAGCAAGATGTTACCTTCCCTGTCACCATGGCCTATGCATGCTTAAAGATAAAGTCTTTGTTTAGCAAGATGAATGCAACTTAGATGTTGGTGTTCTCATCAGAATTTTAAATAAACGTTTCTGTTCCAAGTCATATGTTCCCAATTACCTTTCTATGCTAACTTTATTCCAGTTGATCTAAAATTTCCTTTATTGCAGGGTATCTGTACACATAGATAACCACATAGCACCTGAGAATGTCAAGAGATTGTACCGGTGTGGGGCAGTGTATCCCAGCTTTGATAATGATATATTTGCAAGTGGCATAGATGGTCAAGTTAAGCGAAAACTCACATTTGCAGCAAGGTAGAATGTGAACTGCAGAACTTGTGTGTGAATGACTGCATGTACTAAAACCCAGGTCACTCATATCTGCATGGTTCACAACCTGCTCAAAATTTAGAGCAGGTTGCCAAATTGAGAGCCAGCTGCTTAACTGTTTGTGATGGCTTTTACTTCAAAGGCTACTGCTGCTTCAATCAGCCAGAACTCATTGGGGTCCCTCTCAACTGATTGGAAAAGTGCTGCCCTCTGAAATAAAAGCTACAGCAAACAGCTGGTGCTCATCAGTGGTCCTGTGCAACTGTTTGCTGTGGCTCTCTAACCTTGATTACTTCACAAACACTCATCCCTCACAGGGGAGCTAGGAACCTAACCCTGTGGGACATCTAGATTCAGCTGGACCCACTTGCATGTGGGTCAACTGGGGAAAGCGCTCAGTCCAAAGCTGGAGTGAAGTTCAAACTGATGCCTCCAGAGCAACAGCAAGGCATGTTAACTGCTGTTGCTTTAACTCATGCATATTAATGGAGAAAAAAAGCTTTTTATGTGTATTTTAATGTCAGTCACTGAGAAGCCTGGACCCATGCCAGTTGACTGTGCCTTCACTCTACCTTGTTTCCTTATATCAGTAAGAATTAGAACCCAACGACCTCTAAAGGACATTCTTCCTTCCTCCTAATGACAAGTATCCAACCCTCTCCACTGTGCCAGGCAGCTTACAGAAATTGGGCAGAGGTCCTTACAGACCTTAATGCAGCTCTAAGACCTAAAGCTGGCCCTGAGGTCAGTACAGAAGGAGTCTTTTTTCAGGGCAATTGAGAAAGACAGAATGAAAAAAAAAATTGTGTGTCTGCTAATTGAGATGCTGGCATTTTTGGAGAGATCTCCCACTGTTAGAAGTAATGTTCAAAGAGGTTCTTGAGAGCATGGTGGTTGCTGCTACCCAGCTAAACTAGACGCGACTAGGATAAGAAGAGGTTGGGAGAGTATTGCCGGGTGAGCCTGATGCTTGTAGACAAGCCAGGGCAGAACAGTTTGGGCAGAACAGGGCATGGACAGTTCTACAAGACATCAAGTCACCCAGTATACTATAGCCACAAATTCCCATTTTGCCACATCCTTGTTTCAGACACACACAGTAGTAGCTAAGGTCCACATTAAAACAAACAGCACCATCTACTGGCCAGCTATACCAACACCAAGTTAACATCTATAGGCAGAGAATTAGTATTGGTTAGGACAGGATACAAAAGGAAATGCCCTATTTGATACATCCGAATAACATTTAACTGGGGTGATGGAGGGTGAGGACAGCAAATTCTAACATTCAGGATTGAAGCAAGACAGTAAGTGATTAGCTTATCACCAGTGTTTTCTTTTTAAGGCTGGTTTTGATCATTGTACAGAGCTGTCACGTTATAACAGTTGTACTTGTATTTTAGGGTGCCTTGCTAAAAGCGGAAATCACTTTCTGCTTCTGTGACCTATTTAATAAGGCATAAATTTGCCACACAAGTCCATTGTTTCTACTCAAGTAAACAATACTGAATGAGTGTAGGGCTCTCTCCAAGTATTAAAGCACCATGCATTAGTGTATCACATGGGAAAATGCTTATGCCCAAAGTTAGTGGATATAAGCCTATGTTTGGAAAGTACTAGATACACATTAATCCAATAAAGTTCTATTTGCCTTCCTGCAGTGACACTGGACTGGAGTGCAAGGAAATTTAAATCACCTGCTCCCCAATATTTCTCATCAGTGAGCAGCTTTTGGCCGATTTTCCTTTTCTCTTTCGTCAAGACTAACACTTTAATAAAACAGTTGATAAAAACAGTGAATCTGAGTTTAGCTACCTAAAGAAATGCTAAAAGGCTAGCTCTTTTAAGGGGGTAAAAAAAGGATTAACCAGAGCTGTTTCAGTACAACCCGGTGCCTGGGCCAGCTGCCATGCACAGGGGCAGCAGCAACTTCCATCTGTCACTACACCACTGGTGTGATCATGTAGCTGCAGTGGTAGCCATTTCTTCTCTTCCCCCCACCCATCCAAGCTGGTGCCCGGGTGACTGCTCTCATCACCCCATGCTAGTTACAACACTCATATTAACCGTGCTTCATCCTGGGTGACTATAGGATTCTTTTAATACCTTCGTGCCCACTAGTTTTCACCAGCAAATGCTGCCTGCAAGTTCTAAAGCCTGGCCTTGTAGACACTCATAATGCAACATGTAAGCATTTCTTACCAATGCTTTCATCGTGACCAAAGCCAAAGGAGAAGGAGCAGTTTTCTTTACCCTGTATTTGCAGAATGAAGGATGGGGGTTCTTCTGGGATCAATTTTTCAGAAAGCCTCACCTTGCATTCAGTAAGTGTTTCTATTCATCATCTTCTTGGCAAAAAGAAGTGAAATGCACAGATGTCTTAACGCCCTTCCTGGATAGGAACAATAACAGTCTTATGATATTCTGCATATCAGCACAACATATTATAGTAAAATGTGCATGTTGTGATGAAAGTTGAGGAATAAATACTTGGTAATATTTTAACATTCTCTTCTATTTGTTTCTAGGAGTATCTAAAGACATACCAGTTCAAGAATGCAAAGACAGATGATTTCTGGGGATCCCTGGCAAAAGTATGTTCTGAAATAACTCAAATTTACACACTCAGGCTACAGAGCAGTTTCCCAAACAACAATATTTCATATATTGGGTATTACGATATCTTATTAGCAACCCAAATGTACTGAGAGTCATGACTGCACATTTCTCTACTAGATAAATTTTTGTTTTTTTTACAGGTGAATTGTTTTGAAGGTGTATAGAACATGGAGCAAGCAAGTGGGGCTTGATAAGTAGGAGCCATCCACTGTCCACATACACAAAAAAGTCATCCCTCCCTATCCAATCTCCTGCTGTGCATCACAGCAGACACTCATTCCCATTCTTATAACCCAGTTGTATCCATTAGAGGGTTTCTGTGGCCCCTGCTACATATTTCTATATATGTGCATGCATTGGCAACACATAGGGGGCACACATGGGTGCACGTGCAACCCCTGGAAGTCCAGCCATGAAACCAGAAGTGCTAGTGAAAGCGCACTTCTGGTTTCGCTGCTGGCTTGGTGATCAGCAGCTGGGGGGGACTCCCATCCCCCATCAGTAATCTGATGCTCCCCCAGACTCGGGAGGCACCAGTCACCCGTGTGTGTGTGTGCGTGTGCGCATGCATGCATAAAACATTATACAATTAACTGAACAACTGCACAATAAATTTAGACCAGCCACATGTGTAAAGTAAGATCAGCCACAAGGAAAAGCAATTATCACACAATTAACTGATTAATCATGCAATAAATCAATCATGCAGTCACATGTCCAAAGTAATTACCACATGATAAAAATGACAATCCTACTATAGAAAGAACCAACCATCTGTAAAGTTAGTGCTTAAAAAATGTGTAACAACTCTACGGCTAGGGACCTGCCTAATTCACAGTTTTCAGGAAGCCATGAAATCTGGGATGATCCACAAAATCTGAGAAATCAACAACAACAACAAAAAACCCTTAATAAAAATAGCAGTGGCTCCCTAGTGGGAACCAGAAGCCCTTGCTGCCAGAAGGGGAAGGTGCTGTTTTGGTGGGGAGGCATGAAGGGCAGCAGACAAGATAGCTGTTGCCCCCGCATTCCTCCTCCCCTTGCCAGGGCCTCACTACCAATCAGTGCCAAGGGGTGGGGCTGCATGAAGGGTTGCCAGTTATCAAGATGACAGCTGTCCCTTCTTTTCTCCTGGGGCTTCTCCATCAATCAGTGCCAAGGGGCAGGGCCACTGCAAAATGACTGCAGAATTAGAACTTTATGCAAAAATTTGTAAGTCCTCCTGTGATTTAGGTAGACCCCCTATCTATGGCCCCCTCTACACATTACAGGTATTGTGCAATGACCTACTTAATTGCACAATTACCTGGAGACCAGCTACACATGCAAATTAGCTATCACACAATAAAAAGCTATAAAGTTAGACCTCAAAAATGTGCACTGACTTTATAGCTTATTGCTATCAAGCTTTAATTTAGCATGTAGCAGGGTCTCCCCTGTATTGGGAGCTCCAACAGCTGAGGGGGCTCTCAGTGGCAGAGGTGCACCATGCACAGTGTAAAACCCTTGAGCCCTAGGGATCGCAGCAGCCACAATATCCCTGGGAGTGTGCAGGGGCAGCAGACCATAAAGGCAGATAGTATTCGCCCCAGCTACTGTCCAAACCCCAAGCCCCAGCTACTGTCCATATGCTTTAGAAATATCTATTTTATATATATATATCTTAGTTTACAGCTCATGATTTATTCTTTTACATTCACCATAAAATGATTTAATGAATAAAGTATTTTTTGAGCAGAGCTTGCTTTTCTTGAGCCAAATTGTTAGGAACAAAGGCTGATTTCTGAGGGAGACGTGTTCCTTTTCCAGTCCCACCCTCTTTTCATGAAAGTTTCTCTCCAATTTATATTCGGTTTCTTGGCATGACTATCTGGTGTCATTCTTAGGCAAGTGGTCAACCAGTCAAGGAAGTGATGGACACCTGGACCAGGCAGATGGGATATCCTGTCTTAGAGTTGTACTCTAATTTAACCATCCAACAAAAACGTTTTCTCTTGGATCCCAAGGCACATCCTTCTGAACCACCTTCTGAATTAGGGTAAGGTTTAAAATTTCCTACCCACTCTGCACCACCCACACAGGCAGCCCCCACCTCAGTTCCCTTGCTGCACTGTGCTGCAGTCACCCCCAGCACTGTGGGCTGCTGGGCCAGGAAGAAAGCGGGAATAGTAAGCGTAAGCTGAGGGAGTGAGGGGGAGCCTAGCAACCCCAGCTACAGAAGGAGCTGGAGCAATGGGGGGAACAGTGGCTGAATAGGAGCCTAGGGGCCACATATAAACCCCTCACAGGCCACATATGGCCTGCAAGCCACCAGTTGGACAGCCCTGAGCTAGATCAGCAATACAGAGATCCTGCTTTATTAAGGTATATTTCCAAGTATGCTTAATAATTAAGATTGTTTGTACATAGTTTACTATAGATCTGATCCACACAGTGTCCCTTTGATAATGAGAAAATATTATCATCTCCATTTTATAGGTAGGGAAATTAAAGCACAAAAGGTGAACACCTTTCAGAAAGGTACTCACTTCCATGTTTAACTTTAAGCACTTTATGTACTTGTATTGATTTCCAAAACACATTAATCACAAGCTTAGTTTTCCATCTTAGTAAGTACCTTACTGAATCAGGACCTAAGTAATCTGCCTAATGTCCCAAGCTGATGCAAGACTTTGAACCTAAGCTCTGTAATTCATATCTGAATCCTATATTTAGTCCACTAATGGTATGGTAGCAAATACGTACACTTCATATTTTAGAGGACTATGGCAGATCCAAAAAATGACTTAAGGTACCCACTATTTTAGCCCCAGAATGTTATCCAAACTGAGCTGGCCATCTAGACATCCTGTACCATGCCTAGGAAGGCTGTTGCTTCATAAACCAAGAGGGAGCCTGTTTCCACAAGAGTCATGGTCCCCCATTCTACTCCTTGCTCCCTGGATTTCTTTTATTTTTATTCAATAATTGTTTGATGTAAAATGTACAAACAGTTCAGGGGGCTGGGGGCAAAACCCAGGATTGCCTTTCCTCCTCCCTGCTCAGTGTGCTAAATATTAGGCTGCAGAGTCATGCTTCTCTTTGTTTACTCTTTCCAGCCCTATGAATCATGAATTCTTAGATGCACAATGGCCTGGCTTCAACAGGAGGGCTGGAGGGCACCTCCCCTCACCTAGCATATAGCCTGGTGGTTGGTACCTTAAGTCCCTGATCTGGATTGTTTCTGAACACATGCAGAAGCCCCAGTCCAGTTGTCACTTTATCTTTTCAAGTCGAAATGCAAGTGTCTTACAAATACAGACTCCTCAGCAGCTTTATGGCTACTAAAGCAGGGTTAATTTGTATTACTTTTTCTGACTTTTGACTGGGGTGTGCCAATGTTCTTGCTGGGACCAAAGCCAGAGGCTCCTGGCTAAAGGGTCTTGCCCCTCAGCTCAGTCAGACCAATCACCATATTTGGGGTCAGGATGAAATTTTACCCCATGCTCAGATTGGTAGGGACTGTGGGCAGTTTTGTCTTCCTCTGTAGTGGGGAGCATGACCCTCTACCTGGGATCTCTAGAGTGTTTATTAACAACCTTTTATAAAAGCAGGATATTGGCTGCTGTGGTTCCCCTGCTTTATCTGTGGCAGGTTAGAGTGTTATGTCTTGCTCTGTGTCAGGGTTTATAGTAGTCTTATGAAATGTTTAGATTATGGATTGTATAGGATAGCTTGGATAGGGATGATCCTGGTGACTGGACTAGATGCCCTCTGGATGTTGCTTCCAGCCTGACTGCTCTATGATTTCTACAGTTTTTATGACTTAGGCAGCTTTGTTCACGTGTGATGGGATCTGATCCCTGATCCCAACAATTGTGCCTCCTGCCATGCCACACATGCATGGCAGGGCATGAGATTTTGAGATCGGGGATCAAATCCCAATCATGCCACACTTGCCAGTGCAAAAGGAGCCCAGGATCATTATCCCCTTACATCATTAAATTGAAAGTCAAGTGCCTGACAATCAACTGATTGTTGACTCAGTGGGGACCACGCAGGGGCTGGTTCCGGGCCCTGGGGCTGTCCTAGACTCCGAGGCTCCCTTATGTCCAAACATGAGCCTCTGCTTCTTTGCACTTGACAACCCACCCAAAACAGCATGATGCAGAGTTTAAAATCCTGGTGTCGGGGAGCAGAAGCTCCCAGTAATGGGGGACCAGAAGCTTCCCTCTGACAGGCACTATAAACCCCATGACAAACAGCTCTGATGGACAACCTGGTATGAGGGAATCTCTACTCCCCCACACCAGGCTGCCTGGCCAGAGCTGCTTGGCATGCAGCTTAAAGCCCCAGCAGGATAAATTGGGGTATGTCTGCCTAGCCAGAGCTACCCAGCTCAGGGTTCAAAATCCCAGTGCAAGGAAGCAGAGGCTTCCCCTCACTGGGGACCTAGCTGAGCAGCTCTGAGCATGCTGATCTTTGCTGA